TAGTTTTTCCTGTCCGTCTAATTATCATTCCTTAATAGGTAATGTTTTTACCTCAGGTTGCTTTTAAGACCTCTTTGTCTTTTCTATTTTCCTATTTTATTATGATACACTTAGGTATGTATTCCTTTTTATTCTGCTTAGCGTTGAGTATGAGTATGCCTGCCTGCCATTAATTTTAGAAAAATCTAAGCTGTTAACTTTTTGAACATTGCCTCTTCACCATATGCTCTACTTTCTCCTTCTGGAACTTCTTTTGGACATATGCTGAACCACCCTCCTTCTATCCTCCATCTCTTAACTCCTCATTCATATTTGTCATCTCTTTGTGCTCCATTCTGGGTACTTTCTTCAGACCTACCTAATTCACAAAGTCTCTTATCTGCTTCTTAGCCTATCTAATGAATGTAATTTCAGGAGTGATATTTACACTTACAGAAGTTTCATATGGCTTTTTTTAAAGCCAGTATCTCAGTATTCCCCTCTCCCCTTTTGGTGGGTCATAGTCTTATTATACTTCTGCTCCAGCATTGAATTAAGATCCAAACCCACTAGTTGCTGGTATTGGTGCCTGCCAGCACCCCTGCCCCAGGCACACACCCATGCAGGCAACTGCAACTCTAGCTGTCCACACTGGTTTTCGGCTCCGGCCCTGAATAAGTTGTTTATTTTGTGAGCTCAGCAATGCATTTAAAAGGATGTTAGTTACATAACGTTATTAAGTGATTTGCAGTGGGAGAGTTTTCAGGTTACCTAGTCAACACATTGCCTGAAACAGAATCCCCACCTTTTGCTACTAAAACAGGGCTGCAGCTAATGGCCTTTTGTGTGTGTACACATGTGTAGATATATGCTAGATAAATTCCAAGAATGGAATAGCTGGATCAAACGTAAAGAATAATTTTTATTTGATTGGATATTGCCAGATCACTCCCCAAAGAGGGATTTGTGCTCATATCAGGAGTATATAAATACCACCATAGATAGTGTTACCAACCTTTATCTTTGCCAGGTAGCTAGGTAACAAGTTCTCATTGTAGTTTTATTTTGTAATTTCTCTTATAACGAGTGAGCTTGATGAACATCTTACACACATTTAAAAATCATGAGTATTTCCATCTCTGCAAATTGTTTCTGTCTTTCCCCCCTCATTTTCATATTGGGTTGTCAGTCTTTATTATTAATTCCAAAGAATTGGTTATAAGAAATTAGTTAGCCTTCTCAGTTGCAGTCGTTTTTCCCAGTTTATCATTTGCCTTGACTTTTTGATACCTGATGTGGGAAAAACTTTATAAACACTTTTATATATATTTATCAATCTTCTTTTTTGACTTGTGTGGTTTTTTTTTTTTTTTAAATTGTTTATGCTTAGAAAGGCCTTCCCTACTCTGAATTTTTTTAAAGATTTGATTATGTTTAACTCTTTGAGCCCTCTGTAATTTATTTTGGCATAATGTATGTGGAAGAGATCCAAGTTGAAAAAATGATTATGGAGTGTTTTACTGTTAATTGCTATTGTAAGTGGGCTATTTCTTCAATTACATTCTTGAAACTAGTGGTTGTTTGTACATAAGATATTGATGGGTTTTAGAATATAAATACTTGCTTCTGAATTATTACTGATTCTTGGATTGTCATTGCTAACTAATGATAAATTTGCTTCCCATTTTTTAATCTCTCATATTTTTCTTTTGTCTAACTGTATCTGCTGATTTTTTCAGAACAATGTGAAATACGGTGGTGATGGTAGATCACTATTAGGAAATTAGCAATGTTTTCATTAGGAATGAGTGTTGTATTTCATCAGATTTCAGCACCCATGGAGACGACTGTGTAGCCTGTCTCATTTGTGACAGTGATGAAAACCAAACTCGTTGCTGTCCAGTCAGTTCCAACTCATAGTGACCCTTCCTAGTTGGAGTCTACTTGTTTGTAGTGTGCTGCTGTGGATTCTGTGAATATTTCCTTCTGGTCTTAGCACTGATGCAGATCTGTGGCTTTCTCTGATTGTCCCGTTAGGGTTTGGTTAGAGTGCTGGCTTCCAGTGGGGACGCTTTCCTTGTTCCCTGCACTGTGGGGCAGTTTGCACAGCACTGGAGAGAGCAGTTCTTACAGTTTTGCCAGATTTCACGTGCCCCCCCCCCTTTTTTTTTTTTTGCGGAGAGTGGTGCTTCTTGGTAGCTCCTCAGTTTGCTCTTTGTTGTTTAATCTATTTCTGTCTCCTAGAAAGCCATTTATTTCATCTAGGCTTTCAAATTTGGAGATTTGAAATACTCAACTCAAGAACATAGGAAACCTGAATAGATTATAATGACTTAAAAGAAACTGAATTACTTAAGAAAGAAAACTACGTCCTTGTAGTTCTGCTTTGCTTTTCAGGCAAGTTTTACCAAAACTTTAGTAAATTGTACCCTTCATCGTTATAAGGTATGATCTTCATCTAATGCTTTTTGCCCTGAAGCCCACCTTTTCTGATAGTAAAATTGTAGCCTCTCTTCCTTGTCATTCAGGTGTAGCAAATATTGAGTTATACTTTGTGATTCACTTGAAAGTCTTCCTGTTAGTAGGTGTGTTTGTCCTGTGTGCATCTATTAACACCAGAGACATGTTAAGGTCTTACTTCTGTCTGTGGTCTTGTGCTGTCTTTGTTTTGTACTTCACTGTATGGCCTGAGGGTTGGTATATCCTATTCCTTGTAATATTTTGCTTCAACACTTGGAGAAATTCTTTCAGAATATCCATAGGTAGCTCACTTTGAGTCCTTTGTGTTAAAATAACCCCCCTCAGAACTCTGAAAGATGTGTGTGCGCGCTCATACAATGAAAGAGTCTAGGGCATAGAATATATTTCAGAGTTTATGATCAAGTTTAATATATTATCATTGTTTGTCCAGCTCCCCTGCTAGATAGTGGGGTCTTTTCAGGGAAGTGATTGTCTCTTCCTTTTACATTAATCTGTACTTAAATTTTGGTTTCTGATGGGCAAGAGATTTCTGTGCTATTATCTAATTTATTCTTATGTGGAAATTCAGCATATACTTGTATAAAAAATAGTTTTAAGAGATTTTTAAAGAAATTCAGATGATTGCAGGGCAAGTAATTTCAGGACTTTAGGTCAGTGACTGCAGAGTGTCCACATTTTTTGTTGTTAGGTGCCATGGGGTCACTTCTGACTCATAGCAACCCTGTGTACAACAGAATGGAACACTGCCTGTTACTGCGCCATCTGCACAGTCGGCGTTATGTTTGAGGCCGTCGTTGCAGCCACCGTGTCATTCCATCTTGTTGAGGGTCTTCCTCTTTTTCGCTGACCCTCTACTTTACCAAGCATGATGTCCTTCTCCAGGGACTGGTCCCACCTAATAATAACGTGTCCAGAGTAAGTGAGACAAAGTCTCACTATCCTTGCTTCTAAGGAGCATGCTGACTGTACTGCTTCTGAGACAGATTTGTTAGTTCTTCTGGCAGTCATGGCATATTCGATAGTATTAATAATCTCTTAATCCCAGCTCTTTTGTTAATGCGTGGTCAACTGTAGGAGCATTCCGTCTCCAGATTTCAACAAGATGGTGATGAACTTACAAAGTCAAATATCCAAAAGTGTTCTTTTCCCAGCCAGGTAAGGCTGTGAGTTACAGACAAGTAATAGCTGATTTACCTCTTGCCCTGAATAGAATGTACCACTGGCAAAATTACTGTACTCGGCAGAAAACCTATCATTTGAACAGCCTTCTTAGGCTGACTCCCATGAGGAGTCGCAGTGCCAGTCAGAGCCAAATGTCCAGCTAAGCAGACTTGCTCCAGGCAGGTCGTCTTTTCCCTGATCCACAGATACAGTGAGGGTCAGGGCAGCCAGTGTGCTTGTCCTGGGTCTGTCTTATTCCACACACTTTTAAATAGCTGTGGGTACACTCTCAACTCGTTCATTTCTATTGTATCTTAGCCTCCTATGAAAGTATACTAATACGGAGATTTTAGATGTCTGCAACAGAAGGGGTTTTTTTGTTTTTAATTGTTGTAGTTAAATGAAGTTTACATTTCGAGTTAGTCTTCCATACAAAATTTTATCCATACATTGTTATGTGACCGATTGCTCTCTCCATACTGTGACAGCACACTCCTTTCTGCCCCTGATTCCCCATGTCCATTCAACCAGCTCGTAACCCTCTCTGCCTTCCCATCTCACCTCCGGACAGAAGCAGCCCCTGTGGTCTCTTGTATCTACTAGACTAAGAGGCACACTCTTCACGAGTATCACCTTATGTCCCACAGTCCAGTCCAATCCCTGTCTGAAGAGTTGGCCTCAGAAATTGTTTTAGTTCTGGGCTGATAGAGAGTCCAGCAGGGGCCATGCTTTCCAGGGTACCTCCAGTCAGACCCTTAAGTCTGGTCTTCTTACTAGAATTTGAGTTCTGTACCCCATCTTTCTCCTGCTCCATCCGGGACTCTCTGTTGTGTTCCCTGTCACGGTGGTCATTGGTGGTAGCCGGGCACCATCTAGTTCTGGTCTCAGGCTGATGAAGTCTCTGGTTTATGTGGCCCTTTCTGTCTCTAGGGCTACTACTTTCCTTGTGTCTTTGGTGTTCTTCATTCTCCTTTACTCCAGGTGGTTGGGACCAATTGATGCATCTTAGATGGCTGCTTGCAAGCTTTTAAGACCCCAGACCCCTACCCCTGATACTCTGTCCCTCAAAGTGTTTGATTGTATTCAGGAAACTTCTTAGCTTTGGTTTAGTCCAGTTGTGCTGACTTCCCCTGTAGTGTGTGCTGTCCTTTCCTTTGCCTAAGATCATTCTTATCTACTATCTAGTTAGTGAATAACCCCCCACCCCTGTAACCATCAAAGAATGTTTTCTTCTGTGTTTAAACCTTTTCTTGAGTAACAGAAGGGGTTTGATATTCTGTTTTCTTAGGAATGCCATGCACAGACCAGCACAGCTGAGGAGGACTCTGTAGTTTCAGACTGTAACTCTAACCACACATCCCTTCTCTGTGCTCACCTAGGGTGAGGATCCATGACCTCCGCACTGACAAAATCGCCCTGTCGCTCTCTGCTCACCAACTTGGCGTCTCCTCAGTCCAGATGGATGACTGGAAGATTGTCAGCGGAGGCGAGGAGGGCCTTGTCACTGTGTGGGATTATCGGATGAATCAAAAGCTGTGGGAGGTGCATTCCCGGTAAGGTCCTTCCCTCACGTGCTTTTCGTAATAACAGGAATAGTAAAGACAACGTAGTCACCCTGAGCCAGGCACTACGTGCTTTGCTTTCCATGCATTACCATCTTGCTCCTCGTAACCCTACTAGTTAGCTGTTACCATCTCCATTTTTCAGATGAGGAAACTGAGACTCAGAAATGGCCAGCTGGTCATTGCAGACACGGTTCCTCTCTCGTGCAGCCCTAAAATTGACATAATACCCAGCAGTTATTAGTCAGGTCCAAGTTTCTCTAAGAACTAAGAACAGAACTAATTTCTCGCAAATGTTGTTCCGGTTATTTTAGGATTCCACCATTTTAATAAAGGTAGAATAGGGCTTCAAACCTGTTTCTTCCTGGTTCAAACCACTGCTGAAAATCCGCATTTCTAACAAGTTCCCAGGCCATGCTAATGCTGCTGGTTAGGAACCAATTCTGAGAACCACTAGTAGAGCAGTGGTTCTCAAAATTTATTATCCATAAGAGTTACCTGGGGCTCTTGTTAAAATGTAGATTCTGATTCACTGTATCTAGGGTGCAAATGCAAATTCTCAGCAGGGGGTTTGAACTGGACCAAACTGGTTCGAAGCCCTGGGTAGAAAATAAAAGGTAACTGAAAAATGTAGGAAGCCAGCTAGAGACCACAGCTAGACTCCCCCCGAGATTCAGGTGAGACGTGTAGGTGCACTGCAGAGCTGCTCCAGGCCCTCTGTCCTCAACCCCAGAGAGTTGTGACAAGTATACCTGTGAGTATCTTCATTTCTTGTACTTCGCTTAAACTGTTTCAAAGGGCACTTTAGGCCTGAATACTTTTAGCCTTAACTAAGGAAGAATTTAACTGTAACATTCAAAAAGGTTTGTAGATGCTATCCTAAGCACAGGCAGGCAGCCTGGCCTGTGCTGACTGGAGGCCTCCCTCCCTTGGCCTCTCAAATACACCTAGAGGTGAAGTTAAGGGCAGAACTGGTTTCTTCCTTGGAGGGCAGTGTTAGCCAGTGCTGTGGCCAGCAGCTCTTAACAGATGGCCCTTAGGGTCTAGAGCCCTGTGTGACGACTACACTGCCCAACTCTGTCTGTCCCTTCCTCACTCAGGAAACAGGTACATCTGCCCTTTTTGGTTTCTGTGGTGATGCACTGAGTTGCCACCAGGTGGTGCCAACAGGCGATTAAAACTGCATTCTTGGTTTAAAGAGCTGGCTCAGCTCCTCCCCTAGGCCAACTCCCACAGTTGTCAAGGGCCCCAGAGAGGACAGTGCAGCCCCGCATCTTACTTCACCAGGCCTGCACGCCAGGAGACCTCACTTTTCTCTCCTTTGAAAAGCTGTGCTCCCTCAGATGGCTCAGGCAGGTGAAGTTTGGGTTAGTGAGGGCTACCGTTTTCACCCAAACAAGGCCAATCCCTCACTTCTGTCTTTACATGGTCTCTTGCTCCTGCTTTCTCTTCTGTGCTCTAGCCTGGCAGTCCTTTGTCAGTTGCACGTGACTGCCTCACTGTCCTCTTTTCAGCCCACCCTCCTCCTTCTGTTGGTGGAACCATCAGCCAGCCAGGTGGTAAGCCAGAGACTGAATCCTTTTCTCACATCCCTTCCCTGGTGTGGGCCCCCATCACCTCCTGCCTTACTTGGCCCAAGACAAGTTGTCCAAGAATATTTTGGTCAAGTTGGTGCCCCAAACCCTGGATGACAGGGCACAGTCGACCCCTTCACTGCTCTCAAAAGAACCCTCTGCTCTGGCCAAGAAGGAAGCCTGTCCCCAGTTACTCCAGGAGCAGCCCTGGCCTCTCCCTCCTACACCATGCTGTAGAAACACTGCCCGTCTGTGGGGATGTACGTATCTTACCTTCTTCAGTAGTTAGGAGCCTCCTCGATGGCAGGCATCTGTCTTTTTTTATTCTGTGGCTCCTGGCTCAGTACTGTGAACATAGCAGGCACTGGATAAATATCTTTAGGGTCAGTGAAAGCATCTGCTAAATAGATTTGAAGTTATTTGGGTCTACAGTTTTCTGAATGTGCCTTCACAGCGCAGTGTGGTGTCATTTGTAGCCCTCTGACTTTAGGACAGGAGAGGCCTTTACAGGTACCATGAGATCCCGCCTCCCCGCCCCTACAGACGGGGATACTGGCTCCGAGAGCTGGAGTGACCAGGCCATCCAGCCCAGGAGGTGGAAGTGGGGCTCTTCTCCACCATGTGGTGCCGAGTTGGCCTGAGTTTGTCCTCTATGTCTAAAACACACCCAGTGGCTGGGGCTTCAAAAAGAAAGAAAGAGCATCCTGACTTTTTACAAGGTAGTGCTTGGTGATAAGAGAAGTCTTGCTCAAAGTAGCTTTGGAACAGAGGTGAGACACTGCCCTCTTGGCCCAGTTTCCTCCTCTGTAGGAAAAGCTGGGCTAAGAGGGTTTCTAGAGTTCCCTGCGGCTCCAGCCCCCCGAGGCTGCACCAGCAGATGTAGGATGAGTTCCGGGTCAGTGGGACTCACCCTTAGAAAAGTCTCTCTCCCTTTGCATTCCAGGCACCCCGTTCGTCACATTGCCTTTAATAGCCACAGCCTCATCACGGCCAACGTACCTTATGAGAGGGTGGTGCGCAATGCCGACCTGGACAACTTCACCACTCACAGGAGGTCAGCTGGCTGGTCTAGGGGTGGGGGTGCGAGTATGCAGCTACTCAGAAAAGACAAGCATTGTTTGATTTGACTGATACCCAGCCCCGTGCCACATGGTCCCTGGCAGGATATGCCCTCAGGCACGTGACTCCTTTTATAGGAAGTTGGGAACATATATGTAGATGTTGTGGGTGATACTAGCCACATCCAGATGCCTGTTTTAAGTCCTTGCTCCCACAGTTGTCCTTCAGGACAGCTGCTCGGGGAGGTGCCGCTCCTATCTGGCTTTTACAGAGGGAGGGCAGGCCACACATGCAGGGGGCCTGTGCGACCTGCTTGTGGTTGACTTTATGTCATCACAGTGGCAAAGCCCAGTCCTCTGAGTCCTCATGCTCTGCTGGGTAACTCAGCTGCCAGTCAAAGGGAGACCCTGACTGAAGGTGGCACAGGTGCCTTTTTCTTATTAATTAGACTGCTGGCCTGGCTCTCAGGGTTCCCCCAGTACTCCCCCCACTGGGGCAGATGCCTCCCCTCCGAGTGCTTCACACACTCCACCAAACTTGTCCAATTGCCTGTCATCTCTCTAGTCCCAACACTTTGCATGTCTGACACACTGTGGGCACGCAGCACACGTTTGTAAAGTGAGTCGCAATCCTGTCTGAAGGTGCCTGCGGCCCGAGCAGATGCTGTGGGGGCCGGAGCCAGTAACGCAGTCCTGAGCCCTGTTGTCACCTCTCTGCTCTCTTCAGGCACCGGGGGCTGATCCACGCCTACGAGTTTGCAGTGGACCAGCTGGCCTTCCAGAGCACTCTGCCCATCTGCCGCTTGTCCTATGACACCATGGCTGGCTACAACTATGACCTCGCGCTCACCTTTCCCTACGACACTATTAGGGAGTGACCTCAGTTGGGAGCAGGGAGAAAAGGAGAAGAACCAATTTTATGAAGGAATGGGGCACTGGGCTATAAACGTTGGGGGAAGAAAGCAACCCCAGGGTGACACCACATCTTCCTGCCTTGCCTTCGCCTGTCCCCTCTGCCAGGTCATTCTTTAAACCGAGTTTGTCATGGTGTGTTTCCTCTTATCCTGTTCTCTCCATGCATCCTCTCACTTCTGGCTTTTCTATTTCCTCCTTTCTGCACAACCCCCAAATGTGACCTCTCCTCCCGACCTGGTCTGAGGCAGTGACAGCACCACTGCCCTGCACAAGCCAGTGCTGGGATCACCACACTCCCAGACGCCTCGCATATCTATCTCCCTGCATCATCGTACACATGACGAGAAACTACACCTCTTCAGACAAGGCCAGAATCACTACGGCCCTGCTGGCCATCCTTCCACTCTCCAAACTCCTTTCTCTTTCAGGGTCTCTTGGCCTGTGAGCCACAGGCATCTCCCTGTCCTTGGGATCTCAGCTCGGCTCTTTACTCAGGGTGGCCTTCTTTGACCCCCACCCCTAGTAAATCTGCTACAGCAGTATTTTTTCTTCACAGTGATTACCATGGTTTGTAATTATATATAATTATGTCATTAATGCTTAGTCTTGGGTCCATACGATGTGATACAATGTAGATACTTTCTAAATATTGGTTGACTAAACCCCATCCTCCACGTGGAATGGACAGTGGTTCGCCAGTAGAGAATGAGTGAGAAGAGGGGAAGTTATAGGGGGGAACCATTATCTGAAACCGCTAAGATAAAACAGGACAACACAGGAGAACTGTTCAGTTTGGTAAGTAAATTCCACCTCTAAAGTATGACGAGCACAAGCTGCTGCATTACTGTTGATTTAGATTTGTTCTAAGCTGCAGCTTCCACCTAATAAGCCTTCAGAATATCAAAGCAAAAACAGAACTACAAAAAAAAAAATCCATCCTCACAGTGGGTGGTCAACACCTCAAATCAGTAAAAAACTTAGGGCTATGCAGGGCTTGCCTAATACATCAACAAGCTTGAACCAACGGATGTGTACAGAATTTTGGATTTCATATATCTGTAGACCATACACAAATGACCAGGTACAAAGGCCACAAAGACTGATGCCACACTGCCAAATCTAGCGACCCCCAGCCCCGTGAAATTAGAAATCAACAAAAAGCAAAAAAACTGTAATAGGAAAACATACACCTGGAAATTCCAAACACTTCTGAATTAACTTGGGTTTAAAGAGAGAAATAAAAACAAACTATAAACAGCTCGAGACCTGAATGACAGTGTGAGCACAGAATATTACAACCCTTGGCCTGCAGCCAGAATGAGACCCAGAGAAGTCCTGGCTTTAATAGAAACCAGGACAAAGTGAGAATAAAATGAATTGAGCTGCCCCTCAGAAAGCTTAAAAAACCAAGGATAAAACCATGTATTATTAATGAAATAGAAAACCAACACATAGTAAAAATCTTTACAACCTTCCGAAAAGACAAAATAGGTAACTCTTGATAAAGAAAAAAGGTGCAAGGGACCATCAGAAACAAAAAAGGAGATAACTGGGGATACAGAGTAAGTGCTTTCAATCTTTCAGTGTGGGGAATCACGTGCCCACCTGATCCAGGAGAAAAGCTAAGCCTCCCTATGGGAAGGGCTTGCCATTACTCAAAGGCCCAGAACTTTGGAGTTGTGAAGGTTTCAGAAGGTTTTTCAGATTGCTTAAGATATTCAGTCTTTGAAAAAGTGCCACCCCATATCCAACCAGAAAGGAGAATGGGGCCAGATGAAGAGCAGCACCTGGGCAGCAGCATCTCTCAACCCAGAGAGCATGCTTCTTTATTTCAGACAGCCTTCCTTGACAGTTGACAGCTGTTTCCTCTCAACCAAACGATGTCCAGTGTGAAGCCATTCTTCGGCAAGCAGATGAGATACTTTACTTAGTCTCACCATCATGTGGTGGCCTGACCCCCTGGTGACCTCGCTTTATAAGGCTGTAATCCAGCCCCTGTTATTTTTCTCTTACAGTCCCAACGCAGCCTGCACCTGGACCACTGCCTAACACACTTTTTCTTTTCAAGCAGCAGCCTCTTGCTGTCTTGAGTTCACATTTCCTAGCTTTGCAGCAGTTAAAGATAATTTACGGATTTAAAAGAAAGTAGGCTGAGAAAATTTTACCAAAGTAACAAACACCAGAGTCTTAAACTATTGTCATCCACTGCTAACAGCTGGTGCCCTGTAAAAGTGCTACCAGCACAGGCTTTTCCCCCAAGCTGTTGAGGACACATCTCCCATTTGTGAAAACTTGCCTGGGTTTGACAGAGGACAGTTTATTGGGCCCAGACGGGGAACTTCGAGCACGCCAGCCTCAGTGTTTGCTGCTGTAGATAGACCTCAGCATCTCGGAAGAACGCACCCTGGTGGGGGAAAGACAAACGCCCCTTCATAATCAGCATTTACCCAGACATTTAAAAATGGCCCATGTCCATCTCCCGCCAGCCACCTTACCTTTACGCCTGCTGGCTCTTGTGAGGGAGCATCTTTGCAAGTTGTAACTGGGTTTTTAGCAGATCTGCTGTCGACTTTTCTTCTTTAGCTCTTCTGCTTCTCAAATTCTTTCACCCACAATCTCCCCTAAAGACAGAACTGACTCAAATATGCCGCTGGGGAATCTGGAGGCAAAAACCCCTGAGATCTTCTGTCTTGTCTTACAACATTATATGACTTTTGCTTTCTACTTTATAATATATCCATATTTGTTCTGATATTAAAACTCTGCAGTTTATTTATTGCTCAAATTACTCAGCACTGACAGTGTGTGCCATGCTAAGCCCCTGGGATACCAGTGTGCTAGCCCACGCCACCCACCCTCGTCACATCAGCCTTTAAATCTCACTTTGCGTGATTACCTGCTTGACAGTCCACAGTTCATTTTTTTTTTCCAGAGCTTCCACTACAGGGGTTCTTAAACCAGAATCCAAGAAGCCCACAAAATTACATTTGAGATTGTGCACAAGGGAATTTTTCTTGGCAGAAGTGTGGTATCTTTCATCAGTGTCTCCACGGGGACTAGAGGCCCCCCGAGAATTTCATCTCTGCTACTAGACTGTGTTTCTCAATCCCAGCCATAGGCTGCCTTGGTAGCAACTGTTGCTCAGGCAATGAAGTATGTTAAAAGATTCTAGGGAAGGCATCACTTTCCCCAAAGTAGAAATCTCCCCCTGGCTTACTGCTTAGATTTCAGCTGATCAAAGGAAAAACAATTTCCCTAAGACTAGAAATTTTGGTCCTTTCTGAAAGGGAAAGCTGACAGCCCCAAGGTGAAGGCCTCTACCCCGGCACCCCCAACCAAAAACCAAACCCGTTGCCATCGAGTCGATTCCGACTGATAGTGACCCTATAGGACAGAGTAGACCTGCCCCATAGGGTTTCCAAGGAGCAGCTGGTGGATTTGAACTGCTGGCCTTTTTTTTTGGTCAGCAGCCAAGCTCTTAATCACTTCCCACTACAGCTCCTCCTGGCACCCCCAGGAGGGCTAAAAACCAATTGCTGTTGAGTTGACTCCGACACATAGCAACCCCATGTATGTCAGAGTAGAACTGCTCCTATAGGGTTTTCAGTGGCTGATCTTGGGGAGGTAGAGTTCCAGGTCTTTCTCCTGAGTTGTCACTAGGTGCACTTGAACTGCCAGCCTTTTCAGTCAGCAGCCAGGCACTTAACTGTTAGCGACATCCCCAGGACGAAAACAAACCAAGCCCATTGCTGTCAAGTCAATTCCGACTCACAGTGACCCTACAGGACAGAGTAGACCTGCCCCATTGGGTTTCCAAGGAAAGGATGGTGGATCTGAATTACTGACCTTTCGGTTAGGAGCCGAGCCCTTAACCTCTGCACCACCCGGGCTCTGCCTCAGGACAGGAGGCCCCAAATTAAGGGCAGATGTTCCCCAGTTTGCATGTGAAATCGCAAACACCAGCTGCTGCAAACTGGCGGGCTTGCCCCTGCTGAAGTCACAGCCTCCCAAGTCCTCTCTCGCCACAGAACTGTCTGGTGGCCTGCTGTTGTGAGATCCTGACGGGGGGCTGTCTCCTTCCTGACTCGGGGCCTCTGCTCTGAGCAGCAGCTGTGGCAGCAGAAAGCTGATGGCGCTGGCCGGCCTGGGCCAAAGCGCTGGGAGCCTCACAGCCCTGCGGCGTCCCCCTGCGTGGCCAGGCCAGATGGTTACCTGGCTGCTGCAGCGGAGCCTGCAGCGATTTGGACGGTGTCTGCCTCTAATGTGGGATGGCAGATCGGCTCTCGCTGGGCTGCAGTGGGTGCCATGTGGGCTCCGTGTGCGCTCGGCCTCTGATGTTGAGTGTGGGCTTCCAGCAGCAGGTCCTCGCCTGCTCTGCACCGAGGCCTTTCTTCTGCAGGAAGGGAGGGAGAATGCCCCGCCCCCAGAGCTGAGCCTGCTGTGTCAGATCTTCCCTTGCACAGTGCTGGGACAAAAATGCTGCCTGGTCCTTCTGTAAGGTGGAGGAGGCAGCACGCCGCTCCCAGCACACGTTGCTGACCTGACTACTCCTACTGGAGCCACTATGGGGTGCCGACACTGTCTCTGTAAAGACCTGAGTTAGGCCCTTGCTGACGGGCTCAGCAGTGGATTAGAAGGCCCAGCAGTCCTCCCAGGGGCAGAGGGCATCCTTCACCATACCCTTGGAGGCATCTGTTCCATGATTCTGGAAGCCCCCAGGGATAGGCGCAGCTCTGTGGAGTCGCCGTGGAAACGCTGGCTCCTCCCACTGGACTCATGTCCCAAGGTCACCGCGTGGGCAGACAGCCTGCAAGGCAGGTGCTTGCGGAATCCCTGCCAAGGCAACTTGTATTTTTAACTCTCCACCAGCCTAGTAATATCACACTGTGCTGCTCCCAGCATGGCAGAGCTGGGGACAGGTTCAACTGCTTAGTGACAAGGATCAGATCCACAGTCGACCTGTCTCCTATTAGCAAAGCACAAAAAGAACTTTCCAGGCCCTTGGACCAGGAAATTATGCAACTGTTTTGTTAAAGTCTGGTAGTAATTCTTTCCCTAAGGCAGTGTTTGGCCAAAATTGGAAGCTGTTGTAATCTTACTCTGTTCCCTTATCCATAATTCATGTTTAATGGGGCTGCAGAATGTTCCCCCGAGCTTCTTGTATTAGATTTCCATTACACAGCCCTTTTGTAAACCCACCAAATTAATGTGTTCGTGTCAAATCACCATATTCTTTAACATCCAAAAGCTGAGCTCTGGTCATTTTTTCCCTCGGTAATATGGCAGTATTACAGGACTAGACCCCCTTTCAACCAGCTTCCCGGCAAATGGGTGAAAGAACATGGAAAGAGAAGGGCACTCGCTGGCAACCCGAGGACATGGGCCTGCTCAGCCTGCTTCACTCCTCGCCCTCCGAGTACTTCTTACCAGCTTCCTTCAAATATTTGTCTCCGAATTTATTTCTGCCTATTTACTTTTCGTCACCAGTTTCATTTCTGATAGAAGGAAGACTCCTAACAAACGCACTTGTTTTTGTCCCTTGCCGACTTCATAACAAATCCCAGAGCAAACACATCGCCTACTTCAGGCTGCTCTGGACATACAGCTCATGGCCCCATCCAGGCAATAGCAGGCCTGCGCACTCGGGGCAGGTCTGTGCAGGCGCTCCCACAAATCCTGTAGGTGGCAGGAGCTGTGTTCGAGCCCCCTGCCCTGTCCTGCTGCACAGACGGCTCTGCCCAGAGGCAGGGCCTTGCTGCGACTCCCGCCTGGAACAGTGGCCTCCCCGCAGCAGCCCCACTAGACCATGGGCCCAGCTTGCCCTGTCCAGAAGCAGTTCTGCACCGACTACTGGATACCCTGACCACCTCCTGAATGACCAGGATGCGCAGAAACACCACCTCGTCCACACAGCACATGGTGGCTGGGCAGGCCAGCTCTGGTGAATTCACCAGCTGATGCTCTGGTGGAAATGAGCACCCACCTTGCCAATTAGATGGCACCCTTAGTGATTCTGAACAAATTGGTTTTCTTTTGAGCAGTATGGACTAGGCTCACAGTGAATGAACCTCACTTTAATTAGCTGTTTAGGTAAGCCTTGGCCCAAAGCGTCAGCTACTTGGCTGGCCCTCGGTATCTGAGCAAGTGGAAACGTCTGATGTGTGCCCATGGTGACCACATCTCCCAACTGGAACTCAGGGCGCAGGGGCCGGCGGGACATTATTATTTATTTATAAAAACATTTCACATTAATGAACTGCCTTAGTTGAAGACAACAAAACTGAACCAAATAGGGGGAGAGTCCCAGAAAACCCGGGGCCCAGGGTGGCCATGCCAGCAACCCCACTGCTCACTGACACCGTGGTCTCAGCGACTCAAGAAAGGGCAGGTGTGAGGGGAGGGTGACACCGCTGCATGGGGGGTGCTTTCTGAGACACTTCCCCAACAAGGGCTACTAGTCTTCAAGTCCCCCATGCTAGGCTGTCTCAGCGAATTTCTGGACTTCCTCTCTGGGCAGCCAGAAACTAGAGGATCCCCACCCACCTCCCCCTGCAGCACAGCGGGGAGCAGCGAGGCAAGGCCCAGGGAGCAGTGAGGGGCTCACACCCACTTCCTCCCAGGACAATGACTGCACTCTGATTTGTGTTCCGGGGTTTGCCTCTCTCACCACATGCCGGCCCTTAAGGGTGGGAAGCAGGCCTCCCCCTCGCCCCCGATCCACTGCTCTGAACAACAGATGTTTGCAGAATTGACCCGTCTTTGGAAGCAGAGCTTGAGACAGGGCTTTAGAGGGTCTCTCATGTACCCAGAGAGCGTAAACCTGCTGCCTATAACAGTCCAATTGCCAGGGCGCTAAGGGTGGAGGCTGAGGCCCAGCCTTGAGAGTGTGCGGAGGAGCCTGGGGCGGAGGCGGGGTCTGGGATGGTTCCCACTCTAGTCCAGTCCATTCTGCCATGCGCTTGCTTATAGGAGACCCCGGGCAAGACCCTCTCAGCCTCAGTTTTCTCATCTGTAAAACAAATGTGTAACACCCACCTCAGAGGCTGTGCATGTCAACCAGGTGACAAAGGTGTTTAATCACCACCACAAGCTTTCTATGCTGTGTACCAATATTTCTCTTACCTCACCTTGCCGCTTTGTGTTTTAAATTTAAATACCTACTTTAATCTCATACTAAGCACGCGCAGCCATCACCCGTCTGTCAGTGGAGGCTTATGTGTTGCTAAGATGCGGAACAGGTTTCAGCGGCGCTTCCAGACTAAGACAGACTAGGAAGAAAGGCCTGGTAATCTACTTCTGAAAATCAGCCACTGAAAAATCACAAGAGTCTGATCCGCAGCCAATCACAGGGATAGCACAGGACCAGACAGTGTTTCGTTCTGTTGTAGATGGGGTTGCCACGAGTCGGGCTGACTCTATGGCAGATAACAAAGCAACACTCCATGGCCCCACTAATGTGATACGAAGTGATGTTTTCTCTTACACATATTAAAACAAGAATATAACTGTTAGAGTAAACATTTATCCATGTAACACCTACAAGCACCTCAGGCACCTCGCTTTGGGGCAGAAGTGCTGAGAGAGCTCACGGGAGAGCATCTTCCAACAGCAGAGCCTTAGAAACGTGCACACGGTGGTGTTTCTGCCCCTGTGCCTACCGCTGCCCAGCTCTGCTCACCACGGTGGGCGGACAGCGCGGGGGCGGGTGTCGTTCTGGTGGCCCAGGCATCCCTGCGCCAGGCAGAGGGATCAGGCTCCCAGCAGCTGTTCAAACTGCCCGGGGGTCAGCACTGTGAGCAGGCCCACTCACAGCAGCTGTTCACACTGACTGGGGGCCAGCGCTGCGAGCAAGCTCCCTCACAGCAGCTGTTCACACTGCCCGGGGGTCACCACTGTGAGCAGGCTCACTCACAGCAGCTGTTCATACTGCCCGGGGGTCAGCGCTGCGAGCAGGCTCACTCACAGCAGCTGTTCACACTGCCCGGGGGTCAGCGCTGCGAGCAGGCTCACTCACAGCAGCTGTTCACACTGCCCGGGGGTCAGCGCTGCGAGCAGGCCCACTCACAGCAGCTGTTCACACTGCCCGGGGGTCAGCGCTGCGAGCAGGCTCACTCACAGCAGCTGTTCACACTGCCCGGGGGTCAGCACTGTGAGCAGGCTCATTCACAGCAGCTGTTCACACTGACTGGGGGTCAGCACTGTGAGCAGGCTCATTCACAGCAGCTGTTCACACTGCCCAGCGGTCACCACTGCAAGCAGGCCATTCACAGCAGCTGTTCACACTGCCTGCGGTCACTACTGTGAGCAGGCTTACTCAGAGCAGCTGTTCACACTGCCCAGGGGTCACCACTGCGAGCAGGCCAGGGCAGCACCAGGGCAGTGGTTGGTGTCCGCACCTACAGTGCCCCCCAACTCACTGTTTTCAGCTGTAACCACGAGTCATTGTGGCTAGAACAGTGTTGGGGAGGTTAGGCTTAGGGGCTGCACCAAAATAACCGCTCAAGTAGGAAGGTCGCTCAGGTCAAGCTGCTCCTGGGCCTTTTCCGCTCATCTGAAGTTCCCAGCTGAAACCTACAAAGCAGGTATTTCAAACATAAGCATTTACCACTTATGAAAAAACAAAACAAAACCCATTGCCATCGAGTCGGTTCCAACTCATAGCAACCCTACAGGACAGAGCAGGACTGGCTCATAGGGTTTCCAAGGAGCAGCTAGTGGATTCGAACTGCCAACCTTTTGGTTAGCAGCCAAGCTCTTAACCACAGCACCACCAGTGCTCCAACCATTTATGAAACATAGGGAAAAATAAGAACGTTTATGTATATACTTTGCTTACATACACGTGAAAAAAGATCCTTGGGTGGCTCAAACGGTTTGCCCTCAGCTACTAACCAAAAGATTGGCAGTTCCAACCCACTCAGTGGTGCCTCAGAAGAAAGGCCTGGCAAACTACATCCAAAAGATTTCAGCCAGTGAAAACCCTATGGAGCACAATGGTCTGATCTGGTTGTACACGGGGTTTGCCATGAGGAGGGCGGACTTGATGACGGCTGCCAACAACAATATCCATATAAAGCAGTTCTCAAACGCGTCTTCGAAAGGGGTTAACGCGGTTGCTTCTGAGAAGGGAGACTGGGTGGCCAGGGGCAGGAGCCAGACAGAGATTCCAAGGTATGCCTTTCTGCGCCTTTGAAATGCTGAACCCAGTATGTAACCTGTTGTTTTAGAAATAATAAAATGAAGCACACACTGATTAAAACTATGAATTACAAATTCAAGACTGCAAATAACAACAGTACTTGCTAGTTATCAAGAGGACATTCTGGGAAAGCTAGAGTGCTGCCTCCCAGCCAGCGTCAAGAAAAGGAGCCGAGTGTACCATAAATGCAACTACCAGAATGCCGCCTAGAAAATACTAGCATCCAGCCATGATGATGGCAACACTGGGTCCACTGAACACCCACTGCCGTCCACCAGCCACACGGGACAGTCAGAAATAACTGTCCAGCAGGTCACCTTAGAAGCTACACGTGGCTCACCGCCAGTGTTTCAGCTATACCAGCCTCACCCGCACGGGCCCTTGTAGACTCACGGGCCGCATCAACCAAGGTGCACAGCCTGTTTCCTTGCCCCCCGCCCATCTCTGCTTCAGAAGAGGACACAGGGAGTTGTTGGAGACACTTACCTGGGCAGACGCTTGGAACTCCAAGTGATGAGCCTCCCCTGCCGTGCTCGGCCTCTACCGCTGCTTTTTACGCTGTAGGCAGACAGATGGCAGAGCTGCGGGCCCTGCTGCAGCCCTGTCCTGCCAGAGAGAGCGCCCGAGACCCAGCCGAGCAGACCGCCGTGGTTAGGAGCCAGGGTCCAGACTCAGCCCCCATTTCCCCATGAGTGAGCTCACAAATCGCTGCGCCTGGTGCAGGATGAGCTTCCTCCTCCCGTATTAACACGTGGTCAGAAGAAGCCTCACACCCAGCCTGGCCCCTCCAGGAGGCCCTGTGGTCTGCTGGCCTGGGTGTAGCTGCCGTTCTTTATCTCACTGCTGAGACTAACAAGGCAGATGAACCTCCAGCATTTATGCAAGGAAAGCACCAGACACTCCCAAATAAACCCAAAATAAACCCCAAAACACCAGAAATAAACAAAAAAGGGGGGGAAAAATCCTTGTCTTCCAAACCAGCCACGCCATGCTCTGCACATGCAGTCGGGCTCCACCAAATAGCCAGGCCACTCGCCGGACTGAGGAACAGACAGGGACTCCATGCTCATTAACAAACCCATATTTTATTAGAGGTAAAAACAGCAGAGTCCCCCCTACCATACCCTACAGGAACACGGCGCAAACCAGCAAGTGGACAAGCAGGTGCTGGTTTACAGGAGCCGCAGCAGAAGGCTGCCCGCCAGCCCGCGGCCACAGCTGCTCAAGGCCACACGGGGAGCATCCCCATTGCAAAGTGCAGTGATCATGGTGGCGGCGGGTCAGTGGCAAAGGGCCATGGTCTCCATGTTCAGGAAGCGGACGTGCATCTTGGTCTCTATGTCAATCCCCTGCCAGATCTGGAACAGGACAGGGTGGCATCAGAGGCCGCCCGCGGCCACCCACACCTGACCAGGCCCAGGTCCCCAGTTGCCTACCACCACCCATCCTCCTCCCCGACTCACTGGCCAAGACCTTCTGGGCAGGTGAACACCGAGGATTGTGTTACAAGACTGAGCTAGGTGAGGAAGAAACATTTCCACCTGGGTTTTGTTTGCTGGTTACTTTGGCACTAACATTTGGGTTCTTTGTGAGACTGTCACAGCGAGTTATTAGTAAATACTGAATCTGAGTTCGGAGCTGGAAAAGTCACTGGAACCCCACCAACCACTTCAGGCTCTGTGGTGTTCATGCAAACGATTTGGCCTCGTTAACCACCCCGTTTCTATCAGTAAAAAGGGGGAACCCACCACCTGTGCTGCCCACTCCACCCAACGTTGCGCACTCAATGGAATTTCCAGGGGAGGGCTGTGCACATGTGAGGTTCCATTAGGCTGTGGTCATCAACGTAAAGGCTCTGAGGGTTTGGTCTTCACAACCTCCCTGGGATAAGTGATCACCCATATTCTAGGCAGAAAAGCTCACACCCAGGAAAGGTGATTTCTCCTCAAAGGCCACGTCCATGGTCACGTACCTGGTACTGGTGCAGTCCACCCTGGCCAGGGCCCTAGCGCATAGCTAGGCTACGGGACTCTTCTACCCACATTATGAGACCCCTGTCACTCCCACGACTGTACTGTTGCCAGCTTCTTTGCAACAGAGGGCCCAAGACACCACGGAGGGGTTGGGGGGTGGGCAGGAACAAGCCGCATGGTGGGTGGTGACTTCACAGTCTCTGCTCAGGCAAGAACTTCAAAGGCTCTAGCTGTCACTCAGTCTCTCGGGACAGCCAGGAGGCTGGAATGAGGGAGTCAGTGCCTCATTGGCACCCAGGTGACAGGGAGGCCTCCGGGCACTTCTTGCCCCCATCACATCATGCTGCTCGCCTGAGGCTCCCAGGCGCCTGCTGGTCTCCTGCACGCGAGCCTCAGAGCCTCGCTCTGCTGGCTGGGGGACACGAGGAGAGCACGTCTGCTTCCCTTGTTGGGGGGCAGCATGTTCCCAAGGAGATACCTGGACGCCCAGGGCAGCCACCCAGAGCGGTTTCTGCTAAATGCTAGGTGGGCAGTACGGCCTCCACGGATGCAGCGTCGGGGGGCTCCAGAGAAGGAGAGGGCAAGGGTGCCAGGACCAGGCTTGGGGCACTCAGAACTTCAACACACTGATGGCTGTGGTCGGGGGCCTGAGCCACAGCTCCATCTCCCACCTCAAGGAGACCCACGGTCATGTCAGCCCTGAGACCGACAAGGTGCCTGGGCCGGGGAGGGGAAGATGCATCACTGGAGATAGGGCACGACTGCCCACATCTGACAAATGAGGAAACTGAGGCTCAGAGATTAAATGCTTTTCCCAGGTTGCACCATGTTAGTGGCAGACTGGGGACTCCAGGTCTGCCTAGAGGGGTGGCAGCGGGAGGCCAGCCTTCCGGGGAAGAAAGCTGGTTCTTGAGGCAAAAAAGCATGCCATCCCATCTCTGGCTTAAAGAAGAAATCCCTTCCTCCTCCGCCTCCCCCAATCTCCTGTCGCCTAATTCTCTTTCCCCAGATGCATCACTTTCCCAGACAGCAGGCCCCACAACAGCCAGAGTGACCTTCTGGTACAAACAGCTTCTCTTTCCTCTCCTTGCCCAGCCCTGAAGCAGGGGTGGCTGCATGGCATGAAGGAGGTGGCCCACGTCCTGCCAACAGTCCCGGTCCAGCCTTTCCCTCAGGGCACAGGGTCTGCGCCACCCCCTGCCCCCCACCACTCCTTCATCCGTTTGCTGGTGACCTGCCTAGTGATGGTGCCAACTCGAGCAGAGCTCAGCCCGAGCCGCTGGGCCTTGGCTCCACAGGGCTGTGCCCAGCTGAAGTCCCCGGCCCACTGTGGGCATGGGCCCACCTGTCCTCCTCCACGGAGGGTGAGTGAGGCCTGATTGCCTGAGTTCCTCAAGCTGGATCAAGACCCACGCTCTGTCCTGCTCTCCTGTGGGAACAGCTTCTCCCCAACTTCCTTGTCTTGATCAAGTCCTGACAAAGGCTTGGGGACACTGTTATTGGGACAGTCAGGGCCCAAGTGCCCAGCAGAGAGCAGAGTGGACTCTTGGCCCTCACAGCAGTGGCGAGCGGCCGCATTCCCAAATTTGAGCTGGATCTGTAACAGCAGAGACCCAGATAGTGTCCTCTACTGGGGCCAGATAGTCAGTTGGGGGGCAGGGGAGAGTGTGCAGCCATTTTGAAAATGGACATTCACATCGGGAGACATTAAACGATCCACAAGTCACAGCAAGGGAGGCAAGCAGGGGCAGACTGTGTGTACCAACTGTCGCCCAGGCTGCTCCTGAGACGGGACCAGGGTGCTGGGTGGGAAAGAAACTGGTTTTCACTGTATAATGTTGGTACTACTTCATTTGTTCTAGCCATGTATTGATATTACCTTTCCAGTAAAAATGACTACAACCAGTTTAAACTGTTTCAAAGGCCATGCTGAAGCTCCAACCCCTTCCCGCCGAGATTCCCGTCCCCCTGACCAGCGGCTCTCCCTCAGCCCTGCGCCCTCCTCCCTCCCCCCGGGTCACCCACCTTCAGGAAGTCCTCGAAGGTGATCCCCTCGTACACCTGGTCTGGCTCCTGGGGACGAGAGCACAGGACAGAAGTGAGCAACCCCAGGTCCTCGCTGGACGTCAGCCAGACCCTCCCCTTCACCCCCTACCCCCCAACACCCAGAGGCAGACGGCTGGGACTCTTCAGGCAGCATCAGAGGGAGGTCATTCTGGATTGTTTGCCACCAGCACACAGGTCAGTGAGCTTGAACTCCCGTCCTCACTCGCTGGCTAGAGGGTGGACAGAGAGCTGGGTGTGGCCCACCCAGAGCGTCAGCAACATGGGACTCAGGTGCACACCCTCCCCTCACCATGCCCCCAGCCTCAACACCCAGCCAGTGTCAGTGGATCAAGGTGGAAAGGGAAGATAGAGGGTGACCAGGGAAGCACAGAGGCTCTTCTTCCCCACACTGCCCGCCACACACTGCCAGTGTCCAGCAGCCTGGCCACCAAAGGCCCCTCCTGCCATTTTCACGGTCCTGCCTCGACCCTCCTGCAGTAATAAGAACTACAAGTGAGTCGACTCTGACTCATGGTGACCTCCTGTGTGTCAGAGTAGAACGGTGCTCCACAGGGTTTTCAATGGCTGACTTTTCAGAAGTAGCCTGCCAAGCCTTTCTTCCGAGGTACCTCTGGGTGGACTTGAACCTCCAATCTTCTAGATGGCAGCCAAGCACTTAACCATTTGCACCACCCAGGGACTCCGATAAGAACTAGTTCTAGGCTAATCTAAGCTCTCAGGGCACTGGGGAAAGGGGTGAAAGGATAAAGGGGCTGGCCAGGCCACCCACCCTTCCCAGTCCAGTAAGTCACCATGATAAGGGCCGGAGTGTGGACACAAGGTGAGCTCGGCCTTTCTCAGGAGCCCCTCCCTGCCCAATCTGCTTGGTAGAGCCAGTCTCCAACTCGGTCTCTCCTGCTTTGGCACATGGGAACCCCATGTGACGATAAGGGGGGGTCCCATCCCTTAAACTGCAACTCTCAGGCTCAGGCACAACAAAGTCTTTGAAAATGTCAGCCCTGCAAGCACCCTGTGTGACAGTAAAAGCACAGCTGACATCCTAAGTGTCCATCCATAGGAGATGGTCTCAATACATCTTGCTCATTCGTGCTACTGATGACCACACGGCCCTAAGGTCGATCCGTACGTGCTGGTATGGAAGAGGCTCCAAGATCTAGGCACAGAATCAAAGACCACGGAGCCGAACGACATCTGCAGGCCCTGTGTGCGTGCGAGTGTTTCCACATGCTACTCATCACACCACCACCGTCTGCGTGGGGATGTGGGGTCAGGTATGCAGAAAAGGAAAGGCCACGAGTTAAATCCCATTCTGTTTCAATAAAAAGTAAAAGACATACATTTATATGTATGGGCACGGGTGGGGGAAGGGCAGGGAGAGACTCACTTCGGGGACCCCACTGACGTTTTTCACGATGGTCATTGAAGAAAGTAACTGTAGGCGTTCTCCAAGTGTTCACTGTGACAAGCATGTCCAGAGCGCTTTACGAATGTCGTCATTAACATTCAGTGTTAGCTTACGCAGACCTCCTAACTGCCCCAGGAGCCGGGTCCTGTTCTTGCTCCCATTTCACAGATGAGGACACTAAGGGGCATTGAAGGTGCCTGTCCAGCTGGTGAGCAGTGGAGTGGCTCCAGGTCTGTGTAGGGATGTGCTGGCGGCAGGATTCTGCACCCCTTTTGGTTTCTTATACTTTTTTTCTTCAACACTTAATCTTATTTTTGGTGAAAATATACACAGCAAGATCTACTACCATTCCTCGGTTTCTAAACATCATGAGCAGTGACACTGGTTACATTCTTCACATTGCTGTCAACATTCGTGTTATTTCTGTTCCAGCTGTTCTACTTCCATTTACTTAAACTCCCTGCTCCCACTCCAACCTTCTCACCTACTTTTTAAAATAGCTGTTGACCGTTTGGTCTTACGTAGATCTTTTTTTTTTTAATGCAATACTCAAGGGTGACAATCGTTCCTTTTTGGGCTAAACTATTAATTAGTTTAAAGGTGACATCAGGGGATAGTTACAGTTCAAGGTTTGAAAAGCAACTCAGGCCCATAGTCTCAGGGACTCCTCCAGCCTCAATAGGTCCAGCAAGTCTGGATTCTTCAAGAAATTCTATTCTGTCTCATATATGTTTTTTAAACAGAAAAACCAAACTCCTGATTTTGTTGTTGTTGTTGTTAATAAAAACAGCTAGCTCTTGGATGGCCCAGGCCGGCCCCATCCCAGAGGGCTCCTCTCGCCTTGCTCTTCCCATCCGTGGACACAGGGAGCAATGCCCGCGTGTTCCCTGCTGGGAAACCCCACATTCCCAGGGCAGCCGAGAGAACTAATTATAGACAAGGCCCCACTGGCCCAAAACCAGGGCTGGAGGGGGCCACACGGTGGAAGGAGGAGGGTGGAGGGGACTGGGGGGGAAAGTCCCCTGGCTGAAATCCCAGCAAAGGACCCCTGGCCCTGCCCGTCCTCTAGCAGCCAGACGACGTCCGCAGAGAAAGCAGCTAAAAGCTTCCCCGCCCAAGTCAGTAACTGGCTCTGGAGGTCCATTACAGCAGGACGACGGATCGCCTGTCTCTGGCAGGCGGCACAGTCAGCAATGGTAAGTGTCCTCAGAGGCAGGTGGTACTGAACTGCTGTGGCTTCTGGCCCCCTTGCGCGCGCTGTGCACTAACCGCGTGCTGTGTTTGTCCGGCCCATGTTTACCTGAGAAAACACCTTAGCGGCACACACAGGACCCACAAGTAAAGAAAGGGGTTCGTGAGCTTTCAGCGTCACAGCTGCTGGCCCCTCTGGCTCCGTGGGCCCATCTCAGCTACAGGATGTGTAGGTGGATGCGGGGACATACAGGACCCACATAGGGAGCAAGACACACACCCAGGAAGCCAGGCACCGGCTCCTGAAATACTGCAGCTTCCAAGGTGGTGTGGGTTTTATGGAGATCAGCAGCTGCCAGCTGCCAACGATTTTACTACAGCAAATTAAGAAAATGGTCACCACTTCCAACTGGAGAGGGAAGGGGGGCCGTTTAGACAAGCGCTTAATTAAATCAAGCAGGAGTGTGGCTTGGTCGCCCGGCAGGGGATCCCTGCTCTCCCCACTGAGGTCACCGGCCTTCTTCTGCAGCAGTTAATCTGCTGAGTGGAGCGGTCTCACCAAAGCCAGATGCCTCCCTGTGGGCCTGAGAACCAGACAGATAAAATATAGTCAATAAAATGACCACAGCCCCTTGCCTCTGGAGACAGGCCCAGGCCTGCCGTCAGGGCCTGAGTGACGGCCCAGGCACACACAGGTCCCAGCATGAACGCAGCCCTGCTCCAGGCTGCGGTGAACCTCACAAAGCCATAAAGTGCCTGGAGAAGCAGCCAGGTTAAATTCACAGAAGAGGTGGGAGAGTCAGTGAGCAAAGGCCATCGAGATGCCATTGTGGGTCCCTGTGGGCTCCGGCCACTGTGTCAGGGCTGGACCTGGCCCTTCAGGGTGAGTCCATCTCGCCCAGGACAGAAAACAAGTCCCTGAAATTCTTCCTGTGCTCTCAGCCTCAGTTTCCCTACCAGTAAAATGAAGATAAAAATCTGTGAAACAGGCACGTGAAGTGCTTAGCACCTTGCCTGCGTGTTATGTGGTCAGCCCACAGCAGGGGGCACATGGCGACCCTGCCTGCCCGCAGCCTCCTTGGGGATCAACGCAGTGGCATGGGGCACGCGACCACAGTGCTGGCCTCAGGGCTGTTGTGGGCACCCACCCACAGAAAGCACGGTCTAGTGGCAGCCGCTAATGTGGTCCAAGTGTGAATTATCGCTTACCATTTATTTCTGTGACCCTCTAGTTCAGTGGTTCTTAACCAGGGGTGACTTTGCCCCCTGGGGACAGTGTGCAATGTCTGGGGACTTTCTGGCTGTCACAGCTTGGGGTGTGCTAGTGGAATCAAGTAGGCAGAGGCCAGGGATGCTGCTCAACACCCTACAATGCCCAGGACAGCCCTCCACAACAGAGAACGATCTGGCCCTCGTCTACTTGTTCACCAACAAGGCCAAAACTATCATTCTAGGAACTGGCATGGCCGTTGCTACACTAATGTGGCCCTGACAAGCCTCAATACGTCACTGCATGTCCATGTGTTTCCTGGTCCCGGCCACCCACTGTCCCCAACACAGCTCTACCTCAGGCCTCCTGCCTTGGCCAGTGGTTACACCTTGGAAAGGCCCCTCCAGCCCATCTTGGCCTCGGGGCTCTAGCCTGATCCTCACACATCTCTTTTGGGGTCAGCTAGGTGACCTTTCACCCTCCACAGTGTACGCAGCCTGAAGGCTGAGCCCCTGTATTCTGGGGCCCCCGTACCAGCTCTTGGCCGGGCCCTAGGCCAGGATCTGACCCTGTCCTAGGCCCAAAATCCCCATCTGAGCCACTTGTTAGTAAATAAATTACTTAAATTTAATGTACACTGTACGTTGACCAGGGTCCGGCACTGTCCCGAGTGCTCTCTGTGAGCTTCTCCCCTAGGCTCTGGGAGGCCTCGCCTAAATGCCAGGGCCCCAACACTGACTCCCTGCTCACATGGCTCCCCTGGGGTTTACTGGTGCCCAGTGGATGGAAAAGCAGCAGAAGAGGTTTCTGCACCCTGTTCCATGCCAGGCCCCATGAAACTGGTGAGCAGGACACTCGTGGCCCTTGCCCCCACAGACCTTCTGGAAACACACTCCACGAAGGGTAAGGCAGCACCTGAGCTAGCAGGTAGAGCTGAGGTGGACATGGGAGGGTGAATTCTTGGATTCAAGCCCGCTGTTCCGTCTCCAGGTCCCAGAGGGAAGAGGAAGGCACAGAGTTTGAGCACAGGCCGGATGCAGCCATGAAAGGCAGGGTATGAGGCAGGCAGGGTGTGAGGGAGGCGAACTTGTCCGGAGCGGCCCTGCTCTGTGCAGCGGGTAGTGGGGATTCTTGCCCTATCTCCATAAGCAGAACGACTTGGGCAGAGCCAGGTCTAAGACCAGCCTCAGAGGCACACAGACCGGCTCGCCACCCCAGCTGTGCACCAGGACACCTCCCTTCACCCCCAGCCTTGGTCTCATCTGTGAAGTGAGGATCTAGACAGCCTAGCCTAGCAAGAGGATGGGGGCCATTTCCCTGAAGGCCGTCTGCACTCCAGGGATAAACGCTAACTAACACTAGGGTCCAGACATGGTGTGGAGATGATGTCTGTGCAGGAAAGACCTCAGCCTCCATCCTGGCTCCACCACTTACTAGCTAAGTGCCGGGCACAACCTCTACCCTCACAGTGCCTCAGTGTTCTTGTCTGTAAGTGGGGATAACAACAGTGATTCCCCAAAAGCTGGTGATGACGATTACATGAGAGGGGGCACACAGCCAGCCTGCAGCGATGCCTGTGTAAACACCCACCCCCCGTCCATCTACCCTTCTCCCTCCCACCCTGGAGGGAGCGCTCACCATCTGGCCCACACAGATGCTGGCCGCCTCCATCATGGCCCCATCTGCAATGGAGCGAGCAGACTCCTTCTCAATGTGGGGGTTTCCTGAGAGCAGCTCCTCGACCACCTGAGGGGTGGGGGGGGGCAGAGACCAACCAGGAACTTGGGCCTCCACCAAGTCGACGGGGTTGGGGGGGCGCCAGGAGCCAGGGCAGGTGAGGGAGCATACTTTACATTTCGATATTCTTCCAGGGTGATCCGGCCGTCGCTGTCTGAGTCATACATGTGGAATAGAACTGGGGGGTGGGGAGAGAGGGGGCTCGGTCAGGATGGGCCCAGCGACTGGCCACACACCCTGCCCTCCCCCCACCCCCAGCCCTGCACAGGAGGGTTGGCCCAGTCCCTCTGCTCCCCCTACCTTCCTCCACAGCCACCATCCCCCCCCCCCACAAGAATCTCTAGCAAATGGAGCACAAGACCCGAATAACAAGCCCCAAGTGCCAAAGCCATAGGGTCTGAGGGCCCAGGCCATGAGGCCAGACTGACCACTTCCTATCTGGGCAACCTCGGGCCTCAGTTTCCCCTTCTGTAAACCAGAATAACTACAGTATTGGTGCAGCTGCAAGCATTCAGAGAGCCAAAGCCAGTGGAGTTAGGACCCAGCGATCACCTGACACAGGGAGCGTGTATGACGTGAGAGAACGAATACCAAGCCGACTCCACATTGTTCGCAAACTGTCACTCCCGACAGACCCTGCAGGGCGGCTGGCCATCGCGGCCTGGTGGAATGATGACGGACCCAGCTGCCCACATGCCGGAGCCCCGCTGGTCTGAGCCACTACCCGGCAGGCAGGGGCATTAGCCCTACCCTGGTTACATCACTCTTAGCAACACCCACGTGGCTCCTTCCTGACATTCCAGTGACCCTCGGCCCATGACCCAACACAGGCCAGAGTCGAAGGGAGGTGCCCCCCACACCTTAGCCTGGCCTCAGGGAGCCCCAGGCCCCAGCTCCCCCAGCTCTCTGCACTGGCACTACGGCAGGGGGCCAAGCTGCCCGCCCCTGTGCACCCTGAGACCAGGGCTGCCCTGAGCCCCACCCCCAGGCGGAGCTGCTGAAGCTCTCGGGACTGAAGGTGTCTGCCCACGGCCACCCCACCAGGGGGACCCAGGGACTGGACTGGAGTCTGTCCACCGAGTCGGCCACGATGCCACAGCCCCAGCGACCCTGATCTGGCCCTCAGGAGCAGAAGAGAAGCTGGGCCGGAGCCTCATAGGACGGCCATTCCCACCAGCCCCCAAGGACACATTCCAGAGCTAAATACAGCTGATCTTCTCCCCCTCTTTTACATTCTCCTGATGATGAGGCTAAGCCTTGGGGCAGGGCAGGGAGATGTTATGGGAAAGGCCGTGGCGCGGGTGGGGGGGGTGGGGGTGTGTGTGTGACGTGGGCCACCGCCTGGGGCTGGGATCACAGTCCAACATGATCAGGCACCAAGGGAACCAGCGCCGGCGTGGCCAGGGCCGATATGACCCCACAGGCTGTCTCGTCTGTGAGCCGTGCTGCCAGCTCAGGAAGGACCCAGTGGAGAGAACTGGCTTTCAGGGAGCACCTACTGTGCGCCAGGCTCAGACCAGCCAGGCTGTGTGAGACCCCATCAGACCCTCAGAAGCACGCTGCATGTCCATTGTCACACATCCACATTCTAGGCAAGGACTTGGAGGCTCGGCCTCAAGGCCACACAGCCACTAAGTGGAAGGGCCGGATTTGAACTGAGGTCTGTGTGAACCACATCACCCCATACCCCCTTCTATACCTCAGGTCTCCGAAAACCATGAACTGCTCAGCAATGCTCATGACAAGGACAATGTGGGGGAACTCAGGAGGAGGGGGACCACCTGGTGCTGCAAACTGGGGCCATGCTAAGCACGAGGGGTGGTGGAGGGGGTATCCCCAGCACTTCTGTGCCATCCAGCTCCCCACCCCCATGTGGGCCAGGCGAGCTGCGGCAGGGGCACTCGGGGATACACACATCTCAGTTTCTCCTTCCGGCACAGCTCCACCTGCTCCTCGTCCATGGAGATGTCAATGGGCCGGAAGTAGGACATGATGGTCAGGAAGTCCTCAAAGTTGATCTCGTCAGCCACGCCACTGGGCCCCTTGCGCAGGTTCCTAGGGGAGCAAAAGGAGATGTCGTCGCTACCCACAGCTCACGAGGACTTCCCTTTCTGGGCACGCACCCTGCCCACCAGGGCTGCTCTGCCCTATTGAGTTCCCGGGAGGTTGAAGTCCAGCCTCTGCCTGCCCAGAGCTCACGCCTAGGAGAGAGACAATTGCAAGCCATGCAATAAGGGACAGGATAGAGGGCTGCGTGGGTGTGTGACAGTGCCCAGGAAGGGCGCCCACAAGTGGGGAAAATGAGGCAACGAGCAGTCTGATAACTCACCTATGTGAGTACCTCCTCCTTTCCTCCACATCAGAGGTCAGCAAACTACGGCCTGTGGGCCAAATCTGGCCTGCACCTATTTTTGCACAGCCCACAAGCTTCGAAGGGTTTTCACATGTTAAGAGGTGGAAAAAAATCAAAATAGTATTTCATGATATGTGAAAACTACATAAAATTCTCATTTCAATGTCCATAAATAAAGTTTGATTAGAACTTAGCCACGCCCATTCGCTTACATATTGTTTGTGGCTGCTTTCGAGGCAGAGTTGAGTAGCTGTGACAGATGCAGAATGGCCCACAAATATGTTTACTCTCTGGCCAGAAAAAGTTTGCTAACCCGGCTGTCTATCACAGTTCAAATTTCTAGTACAGTGATCAGCCACAAGCCACTCTGAGTCGTTTTATGACAAAGTTTGCCAGTGATTTAAAAGGCTTTAATGGATGAGGAAAGGTTCTGTGGTAGAATTCTCGCCTTCCATACAGGAGACCTGGGTTCGATTCCCGGCCAATACACCTCATGCGCAGCCACCACCCGTCTGTCACTGGAGGCTTACATGTTGCTATGATGCTGAACAGGTTTCAGCAGAGCTTCCAGATTCAGAAGAACTAGGAAGAAGTGCCTGCAGATCTACTTCTGAAAATTAGCCAGTGAAAACCCTATGCGTCCCAATGATTCAATCCACAACTGATCATGAGGACAGTGCAGGACTGGACAGCATTTTGTTGCACTGCACACGGGGTCTCCATGCGTCGGGGACCAACTCCACGGCAGCTGACAGCAACAACAATGAATGAGGGCGGGTTCGGATTGTCCCTACTGATGTGCTTTCCTGTGAGGGCAGGAGAGGGCTCTGTCCCAGTGGGGCTCAGGGAGCTGACCCAGTGCTGAGTCTGCCCGAGATGGCACAGTGCCAGGCGCCAAGTGGGGCTCAGGAGGCACATGCCGACCAGGAGCCAGCAGGGTGGTCAGAGCCGACCAGGAGCCGGTAGGGCAGTCACAGCCACCCACTGCATGTCCTGGCTGAGAAGAAATGCTGTTGAGAGGACGGCTAGGAGACGCCTACACCCACATATGCCAGCTTCTGGAGCTGCTGCCACCAAGGCCTTATCGCTAACCCACGGCAGCACAGAGGCCTGCTGGGGCGGATTCTCGAAGGGCTCTCTCGTCCCTCTCTAGTTCCTTAAAAAGGGCCCAACCAATGAGGACTAGTGTATGTAGAATTTACGGGGGTCCCATCTGAGATCACAGCTGGACCTCGGTTTAAAGGAACGAGTTGTCCCAGTCACCACCCAGCATGTAACACTTGCCCCTCAAATGTCCACTGCACTTCACAGTTTTCAAATCTCGCTCTCCCCAATTTTCCGTTCCAGGAGATTATCCAGAGAGGTGGATCGCAACCTGGAATAGGGAAGGTGGATCATGGAACTTCAATCTGAAGAGATGAGAGGAGAATGTCTCTGGGACCCAGGAAGCCAGGTCTCCCCTTAAATCTTGCATCTGAACTTCCTACAGTTCCTCCTGGTAGGCAGTTTTAATACTCTCAAAGTACCTGCTGTCAGGGCACAGACCAAATTGACGAGGCATAAAACTAGTCCCTGGATTTAATGGGCTGCTTGGGAGGTGCCTTCTGCTGCAGCTGGTGCCCGCGTCCTTCCCAAGTGGTCTGGGCTGTGGAGAGGGGTCAAGATAAGCACCAGGGAGAACGGGACAGGCCGGGGAAGGGACGCCACGTGTCCTAGGGAAGGTCGAGCCCCACCTGCTTTGGCATCAGGGCCTGACTGGGGGGGGAGGGCGGGGGATTTCCTTCCCCTCTAAGGGTCCCTGGTTGGTTGGTACTGACCAACATCACAGTCTCCAAGGGTGGTGAGAGCATAGACGCCAGAGAAACCAAGGTACAGCAAGGTCACCACCTGCAGCCAGACCAACCGGGTGACCAGTTTCATTTCCAACAGGCTCCAGAGTGGTGGACCCAAGGCCAAGATTGGTGGGCAGAGAATGGGGGCTGCATTCAAACCTGCTACCCGGCATGAGAATGGGACAGTTTTTGGACTTTGTACGAAGTGACTGATTGACAGAAAAATCTTCCATTCCATAACTTTCCAATTATTCTATAAGGAATGGAGACCTTGGAGGTGGGGGATCAATGCCACTCAACTGCCCCCCAAGACTGGCTTCTCACTTCCCCTGTTCTGTTCCTGAAAGGTGTCAGGACACTTCTATTTCGTTAAAAGAAACTCCCATTTCCAGCCCCTCCTCTGAAATCCTCCCTCACTCCTCTCAGGAATTACAGGATGCGACCTGAACCCTTTCCTGGTGTCTGCTGGCTCTCAGCCGCACCCTGGGCATAGCTCTGGGTCCGGGCGGCCAGGGAAGCCCTCTCCTTAATGACCCCTCCCCGGGGGCCTTCTGGGCTGCCCGCAGAGTCCCCAGCACCTCCCTTTCTCCATACCCAGTTTCTCTAAGTAGCTGCTGAGGCTGAGGTCCCAGGACCCACAGGGGAGGCACTCACCACCTTAACTCTACTTCCTGCTCGACTGAGAGATGCCTGGGTGTCTTCCTGTGGTGGCCTGGGCCCCCTCCACGACCCCAAGACCCCCTCAAGCAGGTCCAGCTCCAGACTCAGGAGTCCCCTCGACGACTCCTCTGCCAGACCTCCCATATCCAGGCAATCACAATTTCACTCCTGAATCCCTGCAAATCCTCTCTCTCCTGGCCTCATCGTGGCCTGGTCCAGCCTCCATCATGCCTGCAGACCCTCCAACCTGCCCTCTGCGCAGCCAGGAGGGCCTCTGCAAAACGCCCACGTAACCCCTCCTGGGACTCCCTCAGCTCTTGGCTGAACCCCAACTCCCACCTAGTCTCTCTCCAGCTCCAGGCCAAGCCCCCTTCCTGCCACACTGCCCCTCTGTGGGACCTCCACAGGCTCATGGCCCCAGCTGTAACTGCCTATTTCACTGCCTTTCCCCCAGGGCACCAGGCTGCACACTCAATATTCCCCTTTTCCCCAACCCGAGCCAGCTTCCAGGGCTCTGGCCTGACTTCACATCCTCCGAATAAGGGGAGGCTCTCCCCTGCCTCTGCCTGTCTATAGCCCAGGGGTTCCTGCTCAGGGTGCACCTTCCCGCTGTCATCTAACCGGATGGGCGACTCAGCCCAGCCCGCTTTCCCACGCCCTGTCCTACCAGAAGCGGCCGCTCATGTAGGACAGCCAGCAGATACCTGAATTCCACCCTGACAGCAAAAAACACAACCTGCTCAGCTCGGGGTCTCGAGGCAGACTGATCTGAGCCAGGATCCCAGCTCCCACAGTGAGAGCCAAGAGCCCAGGGTTCATGGTTTGTGTTTTTAAGAAAACCACATACAGTACAATACAGAGACCTCGAGGTACTGTTCAAGAATGTACGTGTGCAACCTACCCCACAATCAGCATATAGATATTTCTCACCCGTCCCAGAAAGCCCTCTGTGCCCCTGCAGTCTCACAGCATACCCTCTGAGGGCAGCTCTGCCCCAGACACACAGGTGCTCACACTCAGATGCCCCCATGTTCAGTGACGCATACGCCCATGCCTGCCTGCTCACACCCAGATGCCCCCATGTTCAGTGACGCATACGCCCATGCCTGCCTGCTCACACCCAGACACATGCATGCCTGCCTGCTCACACCCAGACACCCATGTGCTCGGTGACACATGCATCCATTTCTGCATGCTCATACCTCAGATACATGCATCCACGCTTGCGTGCTCACACCCAGACACATGCGTCCACACTCACGTACTCACACCGACTCTCATGTCCATGCCCACGTGCTCACACCCAGACGCCCGCATGCTCAGTGACACATGCATCCACACTCACGTACTCACACCCACTCATGTACTCACACGCAGACACTCATGTCCATGCCACGTGCTCACACCCAGACACCTACATGCTCAGTGACACATTCATCCATGCCCGTGTGCTCACACCCAGACACCTGTGTGCTCACAGACGCCTGTGTCCAAGTCTGCATGCTCACACCCCAGACACATGCACACACCCACATATTCATCCCCTCATGCACCTCCACACACACCCTCCCAACTCTTCATCATCTTCCTGTCAACACCTCCAATTCCGGATCCCAAAAGCCTGTGTCGACTCCTCATCAGGAGCTGCACCTCTGCCCTGGCACCTGCCCCTGGCTGCCTGTCCACCTCCTACCATCCCCGACAGGGACTGGGGCTGCTCTGCACTCACTCAGGCCCTGGCTTCTGCAGCACTGACCACCAAGTCTTCCCCAGAAGCCTCAAGACAGACCGAGGCTTAAGGAGGAGGTGCTGAGCTCCACTCCCACCTTTGCCACTGACTGAGAAGCTTCCAGTGAGTCACTGAGGCTCTGCAACCTTCCCTCTCTGCAAAGCAGGGTAACTTCTGGGAAGATTCCCACAGTAACAGGCCTCTCACCTCTACCCCTGGACCCACCTCCTCTGCTTAGCACCTCCCCTTGTCTCTTGAAAGCGGCCTACTGCTCCCATCGCCACTCCTCCCCTGCTGACCCAAGCCCTGGGGGACCACACACCCCCTCCCTGGCCTCCATGCCCCCACTTCCACCCTCACAATCAACTCTCCACCTATACCAGTCACCATGGCATTGACCCTGATTCACAGGGACCCTGTGTGTGTCAGAGTATAACTGCACTCCCTAAGGTTTTCAATGGCTGATTTTTTCAGAAGTAGA